AATATTAAAGGAAAAAGTCAGGAGTAAGCACCGAATGGGGTCAACACTTTGATTCTCCACAAGCAATTTCTACTAACCTGTACCAGAGCATCTGGACGAGACTCAAACACAATCAATAGAACACCCAGCGGAGACGATGTTTTCTCAAGAATTAGCCCATCTGAGATCTGAGTGCAAAAAAACAATTGTCTCAAGTTGAGAAAAAATTGAGGGCCAGTATGAAATCCAGGCATTCTGAGTTATTTGAAAGGGTAATATCAGCCATTTCATTACAAGTTGGTCAAAAGAATATTTTTCACTACTTCGAATCACAAATACCATTGGAGCAGGCTCAATGTCAGTCCCTGAGAAGAATTATATTGTTGCTACATAAAGTCCTTAATTCGTTACCTCAGTCTTCTTCAAAACACGACCAATTGGATCTTCCATGTTTGCAAGCATACGGATGGAGTTGGCAAGGCTGGATATCTGTTCATAGACAATTAGTATCACTATTAACCTAGAAAAGATAGGCTTTGAGACTTTCAGGCAGAATCTGATGTTATATATTTGAGTAAATGTGTAACCAGTGCTAGGTGTATGCTGAAGCAAATAAGCAGTATGGAAAGTGCTATGAAACAAAGTCATATAATAAGCAGAATTAAAGAGATCCCAATCTTGCCTTTCCAGGTTTCATTGCCAATCGTGATACTAGGGCCCTTTCGTATCCATTCTGTTGAGCTTCAGCAACATCAGCTTCATTTTCAGTACGGATCAGTTTTTCATTTGTTTCAAGAGCATCAGCTACATCCAGCAAAATTTTTCTCCTCTCTTCAGAAGAAATTGCCTATGGAATATGAACTACCGTATAAAAATCATGCTAACTTTGCATACAACGCAATGAGAAATTACCTGTAGCCTTCTCGAACTTTCCCTTGCAGCAACAGCCATATCACGAGCACCAACATCCTTTTGTGGGGCCCACAAATGAGCATCTTGATGGAAGAGGGTACCAATACGATCTCCTTTGAGGACCTTAAGGATATTCTCGGGAGCATATCCACTTCAAATGGATATGGTAAAAAACAGTTTTAAATTGAATCAATATTCATATTAAATAAAAGAAAATGAATTCAAATGGAAAATCCATTCATGCTAGGTTACATACAGTTTCAAAGAAGCACAATTGGTAAACTAGGGGAAGCATTTCATCCTTTTCACAATTGCATGTAATATAGCATTTTTTATTTTTTATGCCACCTTCTGAAATAACCAGTGTCTTGCTTATATGAGATGGAAAACATGGGGTGGATTAAATTTTGCAGTTCCCCCTTATTTAGTGGCACGGTGCGGGGAATGATTGTTATTACAACTAGGGAAAGGGGAAAGGAGGTTCCTAAGGCACTCAGCAATGAAGCATACCTAGTGATAACAACAGGAATGCCAGCATATGCAGCACCAACAGCAGCTTTAACTTTAGCAGTCATACCACCTCTTCCCACCCTAGACTTATCCCCAAAGGTAATTTCACCTTGATGGCGTTCCTTAACGTATGTATGGATTAACTTTGAGTGAGGGTCACTTGGTGGCCCACTATACAGACCGTCTACATCACTTAACAAAACGAGGAGATCAGCTTTTAGCTCCAAAGCTAAAAGTGCTGCCAAACTGTCATTGTCCCAAAATATACCAGAAGAATCCTGAGAAGAGTGGTCAAAAACAAATAAATTAATAAATAGGCTTTCAATTATTTTGCGCAGATCACCAGAACAAGAGCAAGTATCACACCTCATAGGGAGCTTTCCTAGTGCTGACTGCATCATTCTCATTGAAGATAGGAATAACCTTAAGAGAGAGTAATGATTTCACTGTATCACTAAGTTGCCTTCTAAAATCCTTATCCCTAAAATCATTATCTGTGACCAGAAGTTGGGCAGATGAAACATCCAGCTGCCCAAAAAAAAAATATCATGTCAAACGGAAGTCCATTAATTGTCAAGTCTTAAAATAGCCAAGTAATAAAGAAGGTAAGTTCATATCAGAGTCTAAAAAATATTGACTGACAAGTGGTGAAATGGAAGGGAAAAAAGGACTGCAACTGGGGTAATACAGCAGCAACCCAACAGCTAAACAAATGAGCTAGAACCAGTTCTTGAGTTAAAAATTAAAATTTAAAAAAAAAATAACAAAAAAAAAGTGGTCGTCACCTGACTAAATAATGTGTCATAGAGAGCCATAAGACTATTTTGACCAACAGCTGCGCATGCCTTCCCATCAAGATCAACTTGTGGTTTTTGAAGGTCAGCAAAACTACATAATTCATAGTACGATCTTAGAATATCCTTTTTTTTATTTCAAGCAAAAGTTTCACGTAAGTATGTCAAAACTTGAATTAATTTCAGGATTCCATCGAATTTCATTGTCCCCTTAATCAATTTAATTGCAATTTATCCCGCACAAAATAACCTGCTATTAACGAGCTTTCTGTATCGGAGCCTTTGACGACCAATGCCAACAGCACCGGATGAAACCAAAATAACCTCGTATTCTTGGGAGTTAAGTTCCTTGATCTGCATTCCAGATTGTAATCTTAATATTAAAAAAAAAAAAAGGTCCTATCACTATCAAAAGATTGAACTTGTGCGTGCAAGGTAAATACCTGCTCACACAATGCTCCTAGTCTGCCTAAGGCTAATCTTCCATCACTTCGCGTTACCACCGCCGTCCCAACCTTCAATAAGAAAAGCACAACATCCAATAACAGGTAAGTAAATTATATTATCAACGGTTTGATGATCCAAAATTGAGATAATCTGCACGTGGTTTTCCAGTAGGATGAACTGAGGAGAAGTTGCAACACACAGAGCGAATCCAAATCGGCAAACATTGATGAGAACGAAGAATATAAAGCTCAAACAGAATGAAAACCACAAAAAAAAAAAAAAAAAAAAAAAAAAAAAAAAAAAAAAAAA